AGAGATCGAGTTCTGGAGAGAATTTCCTTTAGAGGAGTTCTGAAACACATTTCCCCTTCAGCACTTCATTCTGAAAAGCATCTCCTTCAGCGATTCGTTCTGAAAAGAATTTCCCCTTCAGAGACATAATTATGAAAAGCATTTCCATCAGAGACCGAGTTCGGGAAAGCATTTCCTTTAGAGGAGTTCTGAAACACATTCCCCTTCATCACTTCATTGTGAAAAGCATTTCCTTCAGAAGTTTATTCTAAAAAGCATATCCTTTAACTATTCGCTCTGAAAAGCATTTCCCCTTTAGAGACGGAATTCTGAAAAGCATTTCCATCAGAGACCGAGTTCTGGCAAGCATTTACTTCAGAGGAGTTCTGAAACACATTTCCCCTTCAACACTTCATTCTGAAAAGCATCTCCTTCAGAAGTTTATTTTGAAAAGCACCTCCTTCAGTGTTTCGTTCTGAAAAGAATTTCCTCTTCAGAGATGAACCCTGAAAAGCATTCCCCTCAGAGACCGATTTCTGGCGAGCATCTCCCTTCAGAAGTTTATTCTGAAAAACATCTCCTTCAGAATATCTTTCCGGAAAAGCATTTTCCCTTCAGAGACGGAATTCTGAAAAGCATCTACTTCAGGGCCTTTGTTCTGAAAAACATTTCTCTTCAGAGATTTCCTGAAAAGCATTCTTCAGATACAGTTAGGCGTAGACTCATTCTGATACTCTTATCAACAGTTATTTTGGATGGCATCTATAAGCTCATCTCCGACGATACTCTATCACTTCTCTGAATGGCATCTTTAAGCTCATTCAAGCAATACAATCAACCGACAAACGTTACTTCGTGCACATGCGAGTTCAAATTTTTGGGTACTTAGGTGTTCAATCCTCTTCCACCTTCAGATCCCAAATGGAGAGCATGTCAATCTAACTCTTCAGGTTTAAGAAGATTGAGCTAGGGAAATTGTTGTACCCCAAAATTTTCCCTCTCATTTTCAAAAGACTTTCTCATGCCCCTAAGGTTATCAAGTATTCAAGACTACTTAAGAATGATCAGATGAGTCCTCCTCCTAAGAAGTTGCCTATAACTAGGGCTTTGGTTTTCTCAAAGGAAATTGAGCTTATAATATCTCAAATGAGTTTCATGATTTCCCATATGCTTCAAAGAATCCCCATGTCAAGTTTCAAGCCTTGTAGCACATGTTTGCAATTTACAGTCAAACTTCAAGATTTTTGGTCAACATCAAGATTTTAAAGTCACATTCATCATTTGATCAAGGGTTAATCATGATTCATCAATAAAACTCAAGATTCATCAAAAGTCAAAAGTTACTAAATTAAGGTTTTCTTAAGGAGAAGTCAATTGAAATTTGACCAAGCATAACATTTACATACTTCATCAGAAAATTCTCAACCAAAGTCCATTTTGAAGTAAATTCAATTATCTACAACTTTGTCTCTCTAAGCTCAAGGCCAAAAATGCTTCATTTTGGAGATACGAGCCAAAACATTACAGGTCATTTTAAAAGTCAACAAAAAGAACTTTTTATCAAAGCAATTCACATCAAGATAAATTATTTAAATGGAAAAATGACCAACATAGATATTGTAGGGAACATCTTGAGGTTTCTAAAAAGTCCAAGACCACCTTCATATGATAAAAATTGAGTAAGTTATGAGTTGCACAAGTTGGGTAACTTAGTGAAATTGCATGAAACCTCAATTGAATAAATTTGGACTATTGGACTAGTGAGCCTAATTTTTGAAGTTCAAGCGTGCTCGTGACATGTTAGGGGACCCCCAAAAACCATTCACATATTTCTTATGATTTTTATTTCTTTTATTTAAATTTTTATTCATTTAAATCCAAACTAAATCAAGTAAATAGTAAGTGGAGGTATAAGGCTTAGAAGGCTTTTGTTTCAAATATTTTGGAGGCCCAAGGACATGCTGTAAATCGTGTGAATTCATTGGTAGAGAGAATCTTCAAGGTTGGAAAGATTTAAACTTATTTTTCAATCAAAATAAAAGATATAATTACAAGAGGTCCAACCCATTCTTCTTGACCTAATCTCTTCATATATATATATATATATATATATATATATATATATATATATATATATATATATATATATATATATATATATATATATATGCTCATTATCTTCAAACAAAGGACAACGAAAAAACCTTGCAAGAACACACCCTCCAAATCTCAAATTTTTGTCAAACTAGGGCAAACTTGAAACCCTATTTATAGCCCTTCTCAAAACAAATCAACCGTTCCAATCAATCCCTGAGGTGTTATGGGGTAAGACTTGATCGTTCTTGATGATCAAAAGTGAATGAAACAAGCATTTCAAGCATGGCCTATTGACATATTTTTATGAATTTCGTGTTTTAAATTTTATGTTGTTTTGATTGAAACTAACCATACTAATGTGTTCCTGAGATGTAATAGAACATGTATGAACCATTGCATGAGTCCCATGATGCCAAAATTATGCATCCCCGTGTTTATGCCGTTTTGGCATATTTTGATTATATCTCACTGTGTCGAATGTTTTAGGCAAAACTAAGGTCACCAATGAGTTTGCAGCCCTCAAATTAGGGGGTAGAGTCTTTCTTGATCACTAACATTTGTTATTTTACAGGTTATAAACATCACCTCGCCGGAGAAAACGACCGGAGCTAGGACTCTAGCGCTTCTCCGGTGCATTAATTTTGTTTGATAATATATTTATTTCATTTCATTGGATTACCGGATGAAACAGTCACCCCAGTGGCAAGAACGCGCGCTAAGGCTTTGGTATACAAGGGCGTAGGTTCCCTGTCTTTTGCATCTTTTTTTTGTTATTTTCATAATTTCTACAGGTTTCATATATTATACATTGCGCCTATTCTCTATCACCAACTAGCGTTTGGCATGGTGGCAAGTTGTACAACTGTGAAGCTATAGGATGTGGATTCAACACCTATCTCATACCGTTTTAACCTTTTTTCTCTTTTTTCTAATTTCTTTTAATTACTAACCCTAATTAATTTTCTTAATCAACCATTAACCCAATTTAATTCTTTTTAAAAAATCTTAACAAATTAGATTTAGTTTTTAATAAATTAATTTTGACTCTTTTTTATTAATTAATTAGACTTTAGTTTTTCTAAAATTTAATTAGACTTTAAGTTTTTATTAATTAAAATTAATTAGACTTAGATTTTTAATTAACATCAAATTAATTTCATAAAAAATCACATTCAAACATTTTTCAACATTTTTTTATTATTTCTTTTGCATTTAAATTCTTAGAGAAATTGTATAGGTAGCACGACTTTCTTATAATAGTTTAGATTTACCTTTCCGCATTTTTTGTACCCATTATGTAACTGTTTATGGGATGTAATAGTTTAAGAGTTAAATTCCGCACTTTACTTTCCCGCATTCTTTATGTAACTGTACCAAAGCGTTGTAATAGCGTAGGATTTACTTTCTGCACCTTTAATTCTGTATATATATTCAATTGTTAGTAATTAGGTCATGTATGACAAGATCTAAAAACAATCGATAGATAACCCTAATACAAGATAAATAGTTGAACTGAACACACTATTCACACTTTCCACGTTTAGGGTAACCTCTTTTTGTTGCCTTCGGAAACATGGTCATGTCCCTCAAAAATAGGGATACTTTAGCCAAGTCCCTTCGTAAAGATCATAGTTCCTCAATGACCCTTCGATGTTGCCTACGAAAAATGATCTAGTCCCTCCGATACAATTGCTAAAATATCTCTATGTGTTGCCTTCAATGACCATTCGATGACCCTACGCATGTCGCTTTACATCCAATGGATGAGACTACCTACCAACTAATGGTATGGATAACACAATCTCTAAAGAAGGAAAAAAATAAGAACGACCTTGAGTGGGTAAGGAACTTTTAACCGCTTGCTCACAATCTTTTCAAAAATAAATATTTTTTACACGTCACACTTTCGAAATATTTTCAAAAACACTTTGTACGCATTCTTGATGATTGATCCAAGAATCATTACAAAGTTAGTCGTACTTTGGCTTTTCAAAATATTTTCAAACAAATCATAGACACAAAGCAAGTTTTCAAAGTGAGCTAACGATTAAGAGCCCGTAGATAACTACGGATGAAAAAGGTGCTAACACCTTTCTTTTTCATAACTTACCCCCTGAATTCAAAATCTATCCAGGTCTTTCATGTTCTTTTTAGTTTTTCCTTATATTGGATAAAAGAAAAGTCGGTGGCAACTCTAGTTATCCACACATTTGGATAAAACCAAAAAACTCAGTTCTTCCACTGTATTACATTCTCTCTCTCTCTCATAATCTTCAATTCCTCTCTAAACTTCATCTTCTCCAATTAACCACTTTCACCATTGATTCATCAATTTAGTTTTGTGTATGTTCCAACACTTATCCTAGGAATTCTATTTGTTTCATAATTATGATTTAATTCAAGAAACTCAATTACGAAGAAATCCTAATCGGATCAACATTACTGTTGTTGTCAACAAAGAACGTAAGAGGCTACAAAGTGCCTAAAGAATCATTGCCATGCACTAAATTAAAAGAATGATACAGCATGCCAACTAGGGCAAGATAATCAGAAAATGGTGCAAAATTCAATTCCCAAATTTCCAAAATGTCATTGTTGAGAAGCAATAGGCAGCTTAGCTAGGAAAGTCATACCCAACTGAGAAAATATTACTGTATGGAAAAAGTAAATTTTACAGATATTATGTTGGTCAATAGGTATGGCTATGTACTAAGAAACAAATACTTGAAAGAGCAATCAGAGTTTGGTGTTCCCAATTTCTTCTGTTACACATTGGAATAGGAGATAGGTATGTACTTTTCTTTAGCCTGAAATGGAAGGTTTCTTCAATTTAAAACCACACAACATGAACCTTTCAGTATCACTATACAGCACATTGAGATCAACATTTTTGTTTGGTCAAGAAGTAGACTACTTACAAGACATTAGTTTTCCTCATTTTGGTGCAAAACAGTAGTTAAAGCCTCCAAATTGTTCAGATGACATCTGGGGCACATCGATCTGTTCTGAAGTTCTTCACAAAGTGAACTGTATGTTGCTTCTAATTTAGAAGACAGCTTGTTTCCAGTTAAGAAAACAGTTGTTCTGATGATGTTAATCAATCAAACAATTGATCTACTTTAATAATACTAGGATATAAGAACAAGTGAGTTGTAATGAAACACATTTGAGCCAGGTTACATAGCAGACGTATCCTTCTCTGTTTCATTGATTTTATGAAACTCAGAATGTCAAAAGTCTAGATAGTGAACATTTTTATTTTGGCAGGTTAGATTCTATCATCAATCAAATTTCTCATTAATTTCTAGCCTTACAATTGAACATGAAACATGCCAAAAAGAGCAGCTTATCAAATAAATCGATTTTACGTTGAACAAAATGTGTTTGACCTGTATATATATATCTAAACTACATATGTACATTGATGTGACGAAGATTCTACTTTTTTGTTAGTGAAACTATTTCAAGATTTCAGGTTGTGTGACTTGAGAGAGACTATAAAAACAACTGTACCAGATTAACCGTTATAAGGATATATGGTGAGATCTTGCAATTCTTTTGTTTCTGTGACTAACATATTCATTAAAGACACCTTTCTTTCCAAATCAATCAACTCACGCTGGACCTGCAGCAGGTTCTCACCAAGAGAAAGAGTTAATATAGGGGGGGAAATGATAAGCAAGGAAACTTGACTTAAAAGCATTTGATTTTGAACTTACGCTCTCATAAATTTTCTGTTGGGCTTGTAATTCATGCTCCTCTTTAGTTGTTTGAGATATTATCTCCAAAAGCCTACTTTCAAGAGCACTTAGAGCATCATCAACATCATTTTCTTCCATACTTACTTGTGCCAGATCTAAAACAAAGTCAAAGTCTATCTTAGTAAGCTTGTTAAAATTCAAATATAGAGTAAAGCAAGATGAGTGTATAAGCACTTCATGCAGACCAAAAATAAAATTATGCAGAGAAAGGACTGAACTGCTCGAAGAAACCCTCAGCATTAATGAATAAATAATCATGACATACAATATCTGATATCAGAAACTAGTAATCAAGCAAATTACTGCCTTGGGAAAATAGTACAAATCAAATATGAATTATTAACAGAAAATATACAGAACCTAAATCAGAGATATGAAGTAGATATTAGAGCTAATGAATCAATGTCACAAGGAAGCTGGTCTTGCTTCTCTCATTTGAGATACTCTTTATTCTCTTGAAGAGTATTTTCTATCTCCAAATTAGGAAGCTCTTCTCATCAAGTCAAACTGAGACTGTTACATGAAGGGGATCACAGGAGGTTCGCCTCCTGTTGTGACATGGTTCGTGATTGGTGTTCATTACAGAGTTGTTAGCATATCAAGGCTTCCACTGATTCTATTATGTCGAGGGGTTTATATATAACCTAATAGGAAAGGTTCGAGATAGCTCTAAATCTGAAACCTTACAAAAACAGCAACAACTAAACTATAAGTCTGTAAGTGACCAAGACTAACACTGAGTCTGCTAGCCGACTCGCTTAAGCTGAGTTGGCAATGGCACATGTTTGATCTAACAAGCTGAACTGGTTATCCTATGACAACAGCACTTCAAATGCATATTTTGGTACAAATACGCATATTCCAACAGGATACAGCAAAAATATTGTGGTACAAATAGAAACATGCATCAAAAGATAAACATGAAACAAGAGGTATAGGTAATCTTGTCCAAACAAAGTAAGTACACTTTGTCAGAACTCAAAAGGAATAAGAAAAATGTAACCTCTTTCAACACAAGTATCATCTAATTTCGTGCTTCTAATGACTTTATAATGTGACTAACATTAAGCATAGGAAGAAAATCGTCATCTATAACAATAGGAAGAATGAAAGAACCTCCACAAGCTGCATCTTCTACTGAATCAATGTCACAAGTCATGATGCTCTCTTGAAATTTCCTGTATTAAATGAGGAATCAGTAACTGTAGTAAGGTTGTGTGAAACCTGATGCTATAAACCTACACTTTAAAGATGACACTTACCAACTTCTGCATTGAGTAATAAATAAAAGGACTGTAAGATAACATGAATGAAAGTTATCAAATAAGTTTGAGAGCATGCCTCGTGTATGGTAAAGTATATTATATAGCCAAATTTTAATAGACGTGCAATAGTGAGAAGATCTTCACACCTATCATAATAACCTCAAAGAACTTGTTGCATAAAAATGCACACATTTCAAAAGATAACAAATAGAACTGTGCCAAATCATGAAGACAATAATACAGGCGTTGAATATACTATAGTATAATTCGATATGCAAAACATTGACTCAATGAGGAAGAGTCTGCATCATATTTTCTTCAAGGAGATGAACCTTATTTTGGCATTCAGGTCAAGCATGTTGCAGATGAATTGATCACTGCAAAAAAAAATGACAGAAGTCTTAACAAACATGCAAAACTTGTTGTTTCCAAAACTAATGGCACAACATTGTCAAAACAAAAAAAAAAATTGGAACAAGCACAGGAAGTAGCAAGGCATTACCGTAAAGTCACTTCTTCATTCTTCGAACATGAAAGCACATAAAATACAAGATCGAATGAGACCTTTGAAACTTAAAGAGCATAACAATTGAAATTCCAAATACAAGACATGGTATTTTTTTTTGTTGTTGTTGAGTGAGTATTCACCTTTAGAGTTTCCAAATCAGATTCCACAACAGACATCTCATTCTGAGTTAGAGACACCCTCGCCTGCAACCGATCACATTTTCAAGTCCAACGGATCAATAATTAAAGCAACAAAATGTGGAATCAGCTTGGAAAGATTAGAATCAGCGTCAATTGGGATGCTACTAATGATTAACTTGTAATGCGCTAAAATACATGTAACTAACAATTAACTAACCTCTAGGGTTTGAACAGAAGCTTCACTCAAAAACAGATGAAGTTCAAAACCTTTAAGTTCCTGTTCAACAAGTTCTTTGCAGCGCTTAGCTTTCTCAAGTTCCGCATTAGCGACGCTCAACTCAGATTTAAGCGTTTCGATTTGCTTTCTGAGAGTAACAACTCTTCGTTCTTCGCAAATTCAAGGGAAGAAATTAAGGCGCGGAAATTGAAATGCAAATTGAGGATATGAGAAATTCACGGTAGAGATTTTGAGAGTAACGAATTGGAAGAGAAATCGTAACCATACCTCCTTGAGATTTCTCGGTGGCGAAGTTGCGGATGATGCTTAGCAGTTGTTTCTGCGGATCGTTTCCTGTTCCCGCCATAGCTGTTGTTCGTTTCTGTCGCTTCGAGCAAACAATGCTTATTTATACTTGGATCTTAGCACCGAATTTATATATTTTTCGCATTAATATTAAATTCACTTACCTTTTTTAATCACTCTCTCCATCTTTAGAACATGTGTTTTTTTAGTAAAAGATAGAAATTTAAATAAATATTTTTATTTAAAAATTTGATTGTGATAGACTAAACCGAGTTAAATTTTATTAAATTTAAATTTATTATAGACTCGAATCTCATATTTTTAAATATGATTTACTTTCCTTGTTAACTCATTTAAAATATCTTTTATTTAAATATAAATAAATATGTAATTCAAATAATATTTAAATAAATTAACAAATTAAAGACCAATGTAATTAAAAGTCTATTTGTATGATTCATCTGAGCTTATCTATTAATATAGATTTTGTGAAATTATTTATTTAAGAAAATTTATAAAAATAATTTATAAGATGTATTTTCAACTTATCTTCATAAATTCTTTAAGGCAACTAAGTTTTATAAATATAAAATATTATATAACAGTAGTAGTTTAGTTATTCATATTTATTTAAATATTTATTTAAATAAATGATAAATTTAAAAAGTTTTTTATCTCCTTAAGTTCAACTTTTTAACTAAATACACTTATAAAAATTTTTTTAATGTATTTTCTATTTTAAAAAATATAATCTAATCTAAACAAGTGTAAGTTAGGTCTTAAATCTTATTAATCGATCTAACATATTGTCACATTTAATTCTGACTTTTACTTGTAGATTTAGTATTATCAAAATAATAAATTTTTGATAGATGGTGAGTTTTTTAATTTCTTGGGATTGGTATTTAAATTTGCTTACATACTACCCAATAATTAACATAAGATTTTTTCTACTTAAATATATATTTATTATTTAAAAAATCAAAATATCTCCTTTATAATTTTTCCGCAAATTTTGCTCTCATTTCCATTCATGATTTACATTTTTTTTAATCCTTCTTAAATGCATTCTCCTTTTTTCACTTTTTTTAATTAATTTATTATTTTGAATTAATTAATTTAGTGATTAATTAAACTAATTATTATGATAATACATGTACTTGTGATGACCCAAATATATGGCTTAAAAGATTTGGTTATTTAGTCACGCGTTGTTACAAAGATTGTTCAAGCACTTATCAGTTTGGCCAAGTGCCCCTGACTTTGACCTGATAGTGGGATTGAATGGAGTCATTCATCCTCCATAATATAGAGTATTGTTAATCTACAAGACTTGGGATGACTTCAGATACTCCTCTAATATATATCTTGACACATTTATTGTTTATCATTCGTAAAAAAAATTCTGAGTGAGAAAGTTTAGTTTGTGTTATATTTATTAGAACTTTATCTTTAACTGTAAACGTTAACCACCATTGATGAGTATGAGTGTTGTTCAACTCTAAAAGAGAGTGTGACTTCTTGTTGAAGGGTGATTCATTAGATATACTAATGATTTTGTAAATATTTTTCAAGAAAGAAAATCAGGCTTCTTGATTTTGGTGATTGATTTCCATTAATAAAAAAAGAAGAAGTCTTCTCCAAGTGGTTTTGGAGTTTCTAACATTTGTTAGCAGTTCAAAGACTCGCACATGGAAATCTCGATTGAATCTAGTGAAGATTGTTGTGGAATAAAATTTGGAGTGCTTGTGATCTATGAAGATGACTTGATTCAAGATCATGGATCTTGGAGGTTTTGGTAGCCCACATTTGAAGGAAAATTAAAAAATAAAATTGTATAGCTAAGTGGTTAAGTCAAAGTATTTCATCTTTGATTTGTGATTAACATTTATATAAAAGGATAATGTATTAAAGGTCATAGTGTAAGAATGCAACAATTTATGAAGTTTTACCATTAGAAACTAGATTAAGTCTCAAGTAAGAATGAGGCATCAAACTAGTATAAATTTTGGTGTACAATCATTTTAACCTTTCCTCTTTACTTTTTGCTTAGGTTTAGCAAGATAGATTTATTGTTTTCGTAATTTGTATGTTATTAGGATTTTCTCTTCATGGAGATTTATTGTTTAAGTGTGGATTTGTTTAGATCTTGTCTTCTGAACTCATCTTACATCTAATTATATTGAATAATTGTAATATTAAAATGTTTAATTAGTTAATCTAGTTGTATTTAAACCTCTATGTTTTAATTTAAGTAGATTAACTCTTACATTGTTAATTAGTTAATTCATCATTGTTTGGCATTCCTTTAAATTTGAGTGAACATTGATCGAATCATGTAATTTTTATAAAAAAAACTTTTCAAATTTTCTTCTCCTCTAAACTTTATTTTGAATTTTTTAAAATTTGGGAATATATATTCAACTTAGATCATTCTACGCTCATATTCACCAACAAAAAGAGTCAAAAGAGATTACAATATTTCACTTTTTGGTAGGCGGTGATATTTTTAGTGATTGTGGGATTCACCAAGTTGATAGGTTAATATTTTGAGTTGATTCTTTGCTAGATTATTTTCCTGTCAGAAGAATGACGCGTACCTTGAGGACAATCTTTTTAAAGATTTTGTCCTTCAATGAAAGTCGTTAGTGTTGGGCTTGAGCTTCCTTCTTATATGGAGAAAGAACCAAATATGAATAGCCCATCTGTCTCACTTATTTTAAGTGGAGAGTTAGAATTTAGGATTAAGAAAGATAGAGAGAAAATAAGGATTCAAAAGAGAAAAAAGAGGAGAGAAACTCATTTTCGTTTTTCTGAAACTAGTCTCACTAAATCGACGATCCAAGATTCGTTAGCTGTCGGATCAAACTCAAATTTGGAGGGAAGGTTTGCAACACTTGTATCTAACTTTTTACCGTTGGGATCTTGAAAATAAGGTCCGAGTTGAGAGATATGTGCTTCGCACTGAAGTTGCAGAATTAGGTAATTTTTCAGCTTTTTTCATTCTTATTTGTAAGCTAGTTTGCTTTGTGATTTGCAGTTGTTAGTGTAGTACCCTAATTTTTTTACCTAAGATACCACTTCAAATGCATCATTACATCTCTAACAAAATACAAAAATAGCTTGTGTTTTCTCTGTGTCAAACAAGATTTTGAATCAAGAAATTTCCATCAATACAAGTCTTGATTAAATTAGGGTTTTGATTGAAGAAAGTGGATTATTGACTTTTGGCTCAGTGCATGACCTAATCGCTTGAAGCATGATTCAAATAACTCAAATGAAACATCTTGAACTAATTATAGGGCTTAATACATTTCCAAATATACAATTGATTGATAGTAGAAGAATTGGAATAAACTGATGAAAAGTTAATTGTCACACAAAAGTCAAACTTTGACTTTTTGGTCAACATTGAACTTCAAAAATCAAGAATCATCAAAACATTCAAAATTATCCAATTTTATCATCAAGAATCAAGAGAATCAAGAAAAGTCAACAAAAGTCAAAGTTGAAAGAATTTCAAACACTTAGAAAATTTCAAGTGTTTTATGCCTAAAAAAGACTCAACTTTATGGCCAATTTTCACCAAGGTACAAGTTGATTCAAGGAAAACTTTAAATATGAAAGTGGTAGAACATGATACATACTACAACTTTTTCAATGAGGGTTGATCTCCAAAAAATTCATAGACTTGGTGATACGAGTTAATGAAGTTAGCATATCAAAATTGTCAAAATCTCAAACACTTAGAGAAATTTTCCAGCATTCTGACATTGTTAAGTAGCTGATTTTATACCCATTTTTCTCCAAGTTCCCAATTAATTCAAAGAAAGTATTCAACATGAAATTTGTAGATAATGTTTTAAGCTTTCCAAAAAGTCCTGGAGCATGAAAATGTGATGCTTGAGCTGAGATTTTCAAAGCCACAAATTAGCCATGGAAGAGAGATTTGGAAGCTCAATTTTATGCTCAAGTTCATGCACAATTTTGTGCTCAACCTCATGATCCACAAAACCTTTCATTGAGACCTTCAAACCTCAAAATTTCTGATGTGTTGAACACTTTACATTATTCAAAGAGTCCATGCATTGTCCAAGTTCCACACCATAAATGGACCAAAAGCATAAAGTGAATTTTGTCAAAATCTCCAAAATCTTACTTTGTGACCTTGAGTCTTTTAAATCTGAATTTTATCTCAACAAAATCCATCTAGATCATCTAAAACACTCCATTAAAGAGCATCAAAGAAATCCATTCTATTTTTGTTCTTTTACACATAAGTTACAATACATTTCTTGACACTTTTGTTTGAATTTAAACTAAACCAAGCTCTACATTGTTTGTACTAGTATAAATTCTCTTCCTAAGTTTATTGCATTCACTATAAATAGAGCCTCAAGTCTCATTGCTAAGACACACCAAGTTTGCACACAAAAACCATCATTGTTGCATCCTTCAACCTCAAACACCAAATTATCAATCCTTGCAAGTTCTTTGCAAACAAATCATCCAAACACCTTCCATACATCATATAGAAGCTAAAATAACCTTAAGTTTGCTTATGTAACCACCTAATACATATCTCCATTTCTCAATTTTTGAGTTCTCACATTAAGTTGGTTAGAAAGTTTGAGTTTGTATAAAAGTAAAGTAAGCACATCAATAGCTTCATTGAGGTCTAAGGAAGCTAGTAGGATCATCATCTTGTTGCTGGAACATCATTTAAAGGGGCAACAGACTCATTATGTTTGGTAAATTCTTTTAACTTTGAACTCATATTTTAAGCTATCATTTGCACTAATTCTTGAAATTAATTTATAATGTCTACATTTCTTTGAAATCCTTGTAAAAAAAACTGATCAACTTTGATCTTTACACTTTTGCATTTGGTTGAGAAATGAAAGAGTTACCATTTTTGGAAGTTTGAGCTTGAGGTTTGTGTTGCTGAGAAACTAAAAAAAAAATGATTTTTCGAAGCAGAAACCGGTTTCCCAAAACAGGGTAACCGGTTTCCAAGGCTAAATTTTGTTTTTGTTTCTGGATTTTTCGCAGCATAAACCG